TCGATTTAACTTTTACCCAATAGCTTCCTGTTATACCGACGTTATACCGACAGTATCGATACATTTGTTCACGACGACGATCAGCCATCATATTCGAAGCTGTCGCTCACGCTGTCGCGCGACCGGTCTATACGCGCTGTCATTGGTCAGTGTTTTTCATTAATAATTCAAAAACTAAGCTTTAACCAGCATTTTGGTAAAGGAAAAAGTTGTTCAGAATCACTCCAGCTACCACCCCCTAAAATTATGCCCACCAGTAGCTGAACACCCTGTATATTACGTAGTGACAAATTATTTGCCTCACGAAATTCCTAAAGAATTTTGACCATGATATGATACGAAATGAAGCATTTTATAGTATTATATTACTCCTAATAAAAAACACCAGTTTCATTTTATAAAATCATCACGCATCTTTATTAGTCACTTGTTTGCTTACACTGATATAAGATATGTCCTTGTTTTTTTGTTGGGTTGATTATGTATTCGCCTCGCGTGTTACGTTTATTTTCATCTTTGCGGTTGACGTTTCGAATTCTCTGAAATTTCGTGATAAGATCATTCGTTTGTAAATCGGATGTTTAGTAATCTTTCCCTTTTCTCCCCAAAATTTTTTCACGTTGTGCCATCAATTCCTCCTCCGTGATCACCACTTGACACCTGTGTGCGAATCTGTTACAGGACAGGTTTCTGCAACAGTCAGAGCTGGCCACGCACTGAAATGTAAGAAGAATTCGTGTTAAGTGAATTAAACATGCTTTGTTTTCAGTCTAAACTATGGTGTCTCAAAATTTAAATCACTGCTTTTTTTGTGCATTAGCTTGTCTCACTTTCCTTATTTTTAAATATGGAAGATTTGAAAATTTTGTACTAGTAAGTATGACAATATGATATCGACAATTTTGTAGAATTTAGGATTAGGGAATTTGGGAATTAGGGGATTTGGGAATTTGGGAATTTGGGAATTTGGGAATTTGGGAATTTGGGAATTTGGGAATTTGGGAATTTGAGAATTTGAGAATTTGAGAATTTGGGAGTTAGGGGATTTGGGAATTTAGGAATTTGGGAATTTGGGAATTTGGGAATTTGGGTATTTAAGAATTTAGGAATTTGAGAATTTGGAAATGTGGAAATTTGGTCTCGCGTTTCAGATCGTAAAGCAGTATCCTCGTTATACTGCAATCTTTACATGAATTTTTTATGTAGTAATTGCGCTCCTTTGTTATTACAGAACTGAAAAGAGCAATTTTTTCGAACAACTTAATACATTGTCAGTATGTTATTAAGATATTATCGGTATCTGGATAATTACAAAAATTGTGTCTATGTAGTGAGAGAGAACTGTATACCTTAGTGATACATTGAAAATATCAGAAACTTCTATCTAACACTATGTAAATTACTTTCTCTAGACTAATTTTATTCTTTGTTACTAGTTTTATATTTTACATAGTTATATTGTGTAAGACATTCTATACATAATGTATAAAATAATGATACAAAATACGAAACTAAACTGAAATAATCAGTTTCTAATTCTATATAATTTTATTAACTTTATTAAATTCCTTGCTTTAGATTTCATATTTTATATTACAAAAATTATTATGAATAATATTGTATTTTATGATTAAAATACATTTCAAAGTAATTAATGCTAATTACCTTACAAGAGTGGACAAATGTATGGGTACATGTATAGAGATTTATGAATTTTATAATTATATTGTATATCGAATATTAAATTATTATAAAATTTATATTTTATACTCAAGTTTTTACACACACTTTATAAACATACAAGGAAAGCAACACTTCAGTTCATCAAATTGTATAAATTAATTTGTTGTAAACGAAATTATTATATTTGAATAGAGCTGAAATTTTAAGGGTGTGGTAAAGTTTCTATAAACTGCATATAAAATATTGTAAAGAAAATAAAATATATTTTATTTCAATGCTTATCAATTTGTGTAAAAATCACAATAGGGAAAACCACGTTTGTTGACGTAACTTTATATATTTGATATTTATGTGAAAGCAGATAACCAATAAGGCGTACATTTACCATTCTACGTTTTCCTTATTTGAAATACTCGTAAAACTTATGTATTGTTGTCACTAATACAGTATTTTACAAAAATAATAATATTAACTTATTCATAAATTTGTTCATAATTAATATTATTAACTTATTCATAATTCGATTTATGATTGATGATTCTATTTATTCCAATAATAGTAACAGAATATATTAGAGGTAACGAAAAGTAATCAAAATTTCGTTTGTTTTCGAAGAACATTTATTTATTAAAGAAATCTTAAATATTAATCAACAAAATAATTTCTATTATTTTCTAGCGCTTTTTGTTAGGCGTAAAGGTAATTGTTCGATTCCCTTTTTAAAAAAGTCCTTCAATTTTTCATTGAAAAACTTTGAAGTCATCGAAGAAATTTTGATTACTTTTCGGTACCCGTAATATTAAAAATTGTCTGCACATTGATTATTGATTGCTCAAAAATAGTCAATTAATTGATCATCGATTTCTGATTAAAAATAGTCGATTAAACCGATTAAATATAGCTATACTATATAAATTATTCTGGATATTTTTTCTTATATATTTATAGAGGTTTTCTCTCAATCAAAATCTGATTCAGCACAAAATTGAAATCTATACGTGTCAGATTTCTTCCATTTATGATTTTCTGCTCATTCTATTCTCTTATTATGTCGCTATCAAATTATCAAAATTATTTGTAATAAGTTTTGTGCGAATAGTAAAAGAACAAACATTTTTTACTTACATCATCACCATGGCGGCCACATCTTTCGGGAGCTGCAGTAACAATGGTTGCAGCCACCAAGAAGACGAAAATCAGCATCGTGAACTTCGACATTTTATGGAGTATTTGTGCTCTGGAAAATAAATCACGTATTATTAATATGTTTGTAGTTAACCTACACACTAATAAAGATACTTTTCATATTTACAATCTCAATGAAATTATTTATTTAAAATTATGGGAAAAAGAATGTATGTTGATTATCATGAAAGTTATTAATAATCGATATTTTAAATTTAAATTTGATATGAATTGAATAATTAATACTCTAATTTTTGTTAATACGTAACTATTAACTATTAATTATACTATTATATTATTTAAGTTAATACGAATATTGCTTGAAGAAACATTTTTTGCACATATGTACCGCAAAAATTTAAATATAAAATTTTAAGTTGATATATATTACCAATTTTTAGATTAGTTATAATTAAAAGTATATACTGTACAATTAATAGTGTAATTAATAATGTCTTTCAAAGCTGATGATAACAACTCGGCAATGTGTAATAAAACGTTCTCATTCACAATTTTATTTTCAATAAAATTTAATTCGAATACAATTTAAAGAACTTATCAAAAGATTTGGATTACACTTTCACTGTATATGCATACAATATTTATATACAAATATATTTTTATCCACAATATTATAAGATCATTGGCACATTTTAATCAAGTTAATAATAACATATATTCGTTAGAGTACTACCAAAAAACTTTCGGAATAGTTATTTTATTTGCCACTAATGAATGTTTGTAAACATGTTATCGGCTTCAATTTTTTGGAGAACAAAGCCTCGTACAAAAATGTTATTCTTCGTTTTCCGTTTATTTTCTGCTTATTCGTTGATTCAATTTTCAGTTTATTTGTCGAAAAAATTGCTTCTTTCCTTGCATCGGTAATATTCGACCACCTTGTATATTGAACGTTAACGATGAACAGTAAAACACAGTTCTGCATATCTCTATTCAATGCTACAATGTACCATTTATTACCAAATATTTAATATTCCAACAAATATTGAGCTATTCTGTGTTAACAATATTAACCAGGAGTATGTTCTCACAAATCCTTGAATTTCAAATTGTTGTGTCATAAGCGTTATTGGTCATGTCGCATATTATACGTTTCGAAATAATACTATCACAATATGTGATAGCAGATAGGAAGATTAAACGTGGAAACGAACTATTCGTATCCTTAACGCGTTGAAACAATCGACACGGCAAATGAAATGTAATCCGATAACAGAAAGAAGTTGGAGAAAATTCCGAATTGAATTAATATTGTATAAATTTCGTAAGGTACAGAGCTTAAATTGGAAAACGAATCCCTCTGAATAATTACAATTGTAGCGTGACGTTGTTGGACATAGTCGTTTTCACCGCGGCATTTATCGCGTTAATAATTAGGGTTTCCATTTCTTGCTACACGTGTCTATTTCAGTGGGCCAGCGAACGTGTCAACTCGTTGCAATTGTTTCGTTTCGACGCAGCGAAAAGTGTGTCTACAAAGATTAATCTCGAATTCATGAGATTCCAGCTCATTACGCAAGCTAACGAACACACGCAGGGATTTTGCGCGAGTAGAACGTGTACAGGTGTCCGTGAATGAGTCATTAACTACTGACCTGACTCGTTCCTGAATAGCCGACAGAGTGACTAAAGTGTACGGTCACGGCCAACCATGTACGGCATCAATCTACTTCATCAAGTGGTCGCCACGTATTTATCACGACAGAATTCTTTACGTCCTCGTAAAAGGTATCGCGTAAATACGTTGCATAAATATGTTAGCTAACTAACGAATGAATTCGCTTGAAGAAATGGTTCACGAAGTTTAACTTTGTTTATTAACCGTATTTATCGAGAAGGGATTTTGCAGGTTTATTGATTTTGACTTAATTGTTTGATTTTCGTGATGCTTGTGATCACAGGTTATGTAGTCGTGCATTACGTTGATAATTTAGGATATTACTGTATTAATGTTCTGTTATTTTTATGTATTATTACAGTTTCTATTATTATAGTAATTATTTTAGGAAATATTTTAGGAAGTACTATTTTTAGTATTCTATGGCTATATTGATATTATAGTGCTACACTAATTTTACTATACAAATATGTTACTATATTATTATTTTGCTATTTTGGTATTCTATTATTCTATTACTATAAGACTGCATTATTATTTTAAAATTGTACTATTATTTTAGAAAATGGCGATTGAATCAAACATTGACACATTTCTGAATTACACTGCGAAAAAATATTATACATTAACATATTCACGGAGATTTTTAAATAGATTTTATGAGTTTAGTACACTTTTTCCTGGACAAAGAACATAATTCATTATGTTAAGTTTATTTTGACTCTCTCATCGTCAACGTGACATCCTACTTAGATTTATTAGTCCTTGCATCGAAGGTTAAACTCACGTATGCTGCCATTTATTTAGTAAAACGTTCAGGTACTGAATTTCAAGAATCATTTTACTGTTTTCTTTGTTAATTCTTAATAGCTGTATTTTTTATTTAAACGAGTTTCGTTCGTATGTAACGTTTTCACGTTTCAGTTTTTGCACCTTTTTCAGAATAAAATATACAAATATTTGAACCCATTATTGTACTGTAAATATGCTACGTAAAATGGTACAGTGCAGAATTTTTACATTTCATCTAATATAAGTAAACTGAATATTTCTTTATACCCAAATGCTCAGTGATGAAATTTGCAATATCACGCCGTTTATTTAAAATAAAGTAGTCATAATATAGATAAGATTTGTTTATTGCTTTTTTATTGTTGTATTGCTTCAAAGAATTGTATGTTTATTCAAGGTTAATATACACATATATTGTAGTTGATCAACAAGTAGACAGCAAAAAACATAACACACAGAAATAATAAAATTTGCACTATTGTATTAAAATCTTTCTTGCTTCATACTTATTGTTGTGAGTCACTGGATTTATATTATTAAATTGTTATAAATCAAACTTTATAGTTTCGAGAGGTTTGTAAAATTTTTTGCAAATACTATTAATATTTTTGCCAAATCCAATTAGTGGAAGAATTGTATAACTTGTTATATTTATAATAAGTTTATATTATATTTATAATAAATCGAATTATATAACAACTATAAAAGAAGATTGTGTGCACGTAGTTATTAACAGCTTTCACTGAAATTAAAAAAGTTAAGAAACATGCAAGAAAGTATATACCACACATGCCATAAATTTCATATGTGAATACTTTAACACCCAGTATGTTAATATGTTTCTATCAACACATCTTGAATGCAATAATGTAAGAGTCAATTTCTCAAAGTTTCACTCACAATAAAACTAAAAATATAGATTTTTATTTGCCACAAATCATGACATATGTGACATATTAAATCTAATGTTACAACGAAAAAGAATAATTGTATTTCACTATGTTATTCATAGAAAATAACGCGATTCTAGGAACTCATTACACTGACGAAACAGATAATGCTAAAATGACAGCAATATGTATCATAAGCGTTCAAGGTTCATTACACATCCGAATCACCACATGTTTACTTGAAAATCGTTAGTGGAAATTTTCTTATCACCGGAAAACATTCGAAAAAGATTTAAGAAAATGACAAAATCATACTTTTAAAAATACTAAAAACGTTCTTGCATTTTCACAAGTTAATTAAACGCTTATTCAAATTTCGCTCCGTATATCACCATCTTATGATCGATCAATCGATCGATTAAACACGCGATCACTGTCGAATTCAAACCATTATCGACCCGTCACATATTTTCGTCTCGTGAAACGTAAACGTCCTTCGTGCGTGAATTTTACTCACCAAAAACTTTCGAAGTGACACGGAATGAACGTTTTCTTAACAGCGAACGTCTCAACAGTTCGACCTTAACTGATTTCTCAACTTGCTGTATACTACGCTTTTATACCGCAACGTCGCGTCACGTAGCAAGCCGTTAAATTTACTACCACACGCGTGTGCATGCGTGTTCGAAAGAGTGCAAGAGGAAATTGCAAGAAATGTTATACTTCCCACACACGTATCTTAAGGAACACGCATACGATTAATCTTGTCTTTTGTTTCGCCTCGTGCAGCTTTCCGCGAAATTAAATCACCACGTTAGTCTCCGGATTTTCCGTTTTCTTTGTAAAACTGTTCGATATGTTTGTCATGATTTGCGGTATTGAAATTCTGTTGTTCGCCATGTTTCTTAGTATTTCCTAGTTTGAAGATTTATTGGTGTTCAGGCGGTGAAAGCATCATGTAGCTTTCAATTTTTTTTATATTATCGAACTTCCGAATTTTACTTCTGGTATTTTATTATTCAATATCCGTTCGATTTTATAATGAACAAACAAGTTTTTAAATATCCACGTTCTCCAATTTTGTAGTCAATTTTAACGAATTCTCTGTTGATAGTATTTATAAATTTTGTAACATTCTCGAATTTTATTAAGAAAAAAAAGCTCGATAAAAGGGACAAAATATTACACTGGGAAAGTTATTGAATTGATAAGGCTAATTTCATTGTTCGTTGCTTACTAATTTGATCGGTTAATTTTAGAAGAAATAATACGCAATCAAAAGCGATGGGACTTCGATCTCTATTCCTGAATTTTATCATTTTCGTGGCGCGCACCTATCCTTTTCTCCTGTTTTAACAAAAAACAAGAAAGAAGGTCGGTCCATTGAATTACAGTAACTGCAGATTGTTCTGGGTCTGGTATTCAACTCGGCAGAATAATAACTTCGAGGCGCGTATCTCTACAAATTCGAGAAAGCCAAAACCTAACGCACTCTTTACCTCCCAATTATAATTCGTTCCAATTATGCCCTAAACTGTATAACAATTCAAAAGAGTCAGTCACCGCGAACATTCTTTCCCCATTCGCCGGTATAAAATGGTCGAGCCAGGTTCTGCCTTCTGCACCAATATTCCATCGGTTGCATACTGCCTGGCTTCATACATTCCATTGATCTCTCGACAAAGACCTCTTGTTCTTTAATTCGCTTAATAGGAAACAACAGCAAAGAAAACCGAATCATCCGGTAATATTGTCCTTTATCCGTGGACGGTAGCCAAGTGGAAACGTCGATTATTCTCCCTTTTTTTAACATCACCGTAACTTACTGCAGTGTACCATGAATCGAACTCTTTCACTGGTTTCGAAATTTAATAACAGAACACAGCAATTTTGGTGACAATACTTCAAACATATTGTTCGCCTTTTGTTTATATTTCTATTGAATGTTGTAATTGTAATTTACAATGACCTGAGGACACATTTTAAATTAACTCTTAATTTATAAACGTGGGTTTATTAGAAAGTTAGGTTAGGAAATTTGGAGGTTTTTAAATGGGGAATCTTTAATTTTTAAGAAGAAATTGATAAGGGAATGTATTAGTACAAGGTTGGGTATTGATTGACATAGTATTTTATCAGTTTTCAAATGAACAGAAAATATTTTTTAACCAGTACTGTTCAGCGGTGAAGATTAATGCTGCGGACCAAGCTCTTAATTTTAATTCGCGAACATAACATGTCTTTCTTTTGAAAATTTTAAACATAAAATTTTATTTTATTTAACAATAATTTGTCCAAACATTGTAGTTTTCTAATCGAAACAATTAAGCATCTGATTTTAATTAATAAGCTCACCGTATTCCTTTTTTATGAACGTTTCTTTTGCCAGTAATTTTATTTCAAAGTAATTTGTCTAAAAATTGTAATTTTTTATCAAAATAATCAAACGTCTAATTTTAATTAATATACTCAACATATAACTTTTTACAAAAGTTTGATTTACCAAAATAATTTATCAAAAAATTGTGATTTTTTAAACAAAAGAATTAAGTATCGAATTCTAATTAACAAAGCCAACATAACCTTTTTCATGAAAATTTATTTTGTAACTAATTTTCTTATTCTACAGTAATACATGGAAAGTTGTAATTTTTTTATCATAATACATTTTACGTGTTTATATTTACTTCTTATAGTAAACTGAAATAAATTATTTATTGTTACTATTTATTCATATTTATTGTTATTTATGATACAAGATATCGGTATCAACATTGAGAAGTTATAATCGCAATAAGTCAAATTGAAATATGAGAATAATGTTTTAATGATAGTATAAAAAGGAACGTTTAAAATATTTAGGATAAAATGTCTTGGATAATTTTGTACCGTCCGTAAAATAAGTGTTCGATATTTCTGTCCTTCAATTATGACTGTGTTAATCGAACTAACCTTGAGGAGTTTCGCGTATCTTCCCAAGTAGATATTACGAATAAATTAAACTGCATAATTTTTGAACGAATGAGTGCTGTACTAGAAGAACTACTTGTTATACAGCATAGTTTCAGAATATTGAAATAAATAATTTCTTTAAATAATCTTATGTATAACACGTAGTCTTGCAATACATCTTTATTATTGCCATAATTGTTAAAAATTATACACTATTGATTTTATTTTATTTTAATTACGAATTACAACTAATTTTCACACAATGATGTAGTTTATTATAGGTTTGATGTAATATAGAAACGAATCTTAACAGGAATGAAGTTTATGATACTTTGTTATTTTTAAAAATCTTATATAAATATTCGTAGAATTCGTAAGTAATTTTATAAAAATAATAGAGGAAATGCAATACTGGATATAATGTTACATGTAGAAATTAACAAGGGTTTTAAAACGTTCTTTATAAAATGAAATAATATATCCATTGTGTAGATATCGAGAATAGTAAAATATTAAAATGTTTTAAATCTATGATATTTGGCATTACGAAATTTTGCGATTGTTGGACGTTGAATCTTTGGAACGTTGGAAATTCGAAATGTTGGGATTTTAGGATTTTGAGAATTTTGAATACTGGTATTTTGGAATGTTGGATTTTAGAATTTTAGAATTTTAGAATTTTAGAATTTTAGAATTTTAGAATTTTAGAATTTTAGAATTTTAGAATTTTAGAATTTTAGAATTTTAGAATTTTAGAATTTTAGAATTTTAGAATTTTAGAATTTTAGAATTTTAGAATTTTAGAATTTTAGAATTTTAGAATTTTAGAATTTTAGAATTTTAGAATTTTAGAATTTTAGAATTTTAGAATTTTAGAATTTTAGAATTTTAGAATTTTAGAATTTTAGAATTTTAGAATTTTAGAATTTTAGAATTTTAGAATTTTAGAATTTTAGAATTTTAGAATTTTAGAATTTTAGAATTTTAGAATTTTAGAATTTTAGAATTTTAGAATTTTAGAATTTTAGAATTTTAGAATTTTAGAATTTTAGAATTTTAGAATTTTAGAATTTTAGAATTTTAGAATTTTAGAATTTTAGAATTTTAGAATTTTAGAATTTTAGAATTTTAGAATTTTAGAATTTTAGAATTTTAGAATTTTAGAATTTTAGAATTTTAGAATTTTAGAATTTTAGAATTTTAGAATTTTAGAATTTTAGAATTTTAGAATTTTAGAATTTTAGAATTTTAGAATTTTAGAATTTTAGAATTTTAGAATTTTAGAATTTTAGAATTTTAGAATTTTAGAATTTTAGAATTTTAGAATTTTAGAATTTTAGAATTTTAGAATTTTAGAATTTTAGAATTTTAGAATTTTAGAATTTTAGAATTTTAGAATTTTAGAATTTTAGAATTTTAGAATTTTAGAATTTTAGAATTTTAGAATTTTAGAATTTTAGAATTTTAGAATTTTAGAATTTTAGAATTTTAGAATTTTAGAATTTTAGAATTTTAGAATTTTAGAATTTTAGAATTTTAGAATTTTAGAATTTTAGAATTTTAGAATTTTAGAATTTTAGAATTTTAGAATTTTAGAATTTTAGAATTTTAGAATTTTAGAATTTTAGAATTTTAGAATTTTAGAATTTTAGAATTTTAGAATTTTAGAATTTTAGAATTTTAGAATTTTAGAATTTTAGAATTTTAGAATTTTAGAATTTTAGAATTTTAGAATTTTAGAATTTTAGAATTTTAGAATTTTAGAATTTTAGAATTTTAGAATTTTAGAATTTTAGAATTTTAGAATTTTAGAATTTTAGAATTTTAGAATTTTAGAATTTTAGAATTTTAGAATTTTAGAATTTTAGAATTTTAGAATTTTAGAATTTTAGAATTTTAGAATTTTAGAATTTTAGAATTTTAGAATTTTAGAATTTTATTTTGAGTTTTGTTAAATATGGAACATTGGAACTTTGGAGCTTCGAAATGTTGAACTTTTTGAATTTTTAGATTTCTTAACTTCGGAACATTTGAACCATAAAACTGGAACAGTGGAACGGTGAAACATTTAAACTCTGAACTTTGGAATTTTAGAATTTTGGAGATCTGTAGTTTTTAAACTTTGGTACTTCAAATCTTAAACTATCGGTACTAAAAATTTTCCACCTTTGAAGTTCAGAAATTTCGCAACTCTAATTTTTTAACTTTAGTTGAAGGAAATTTTATATCTTTGGCATTGTGGCCAATACTGCATTAAAGGTAAGACGTGAGAAATGATTACTTTATTTTATTTCAAATGGTAATAATAATAAGTAATAGTCCCAGTTTCTAATTGCTTAGGCACTTGTGGTTTCGATATTCGGATATCCTGGTGGAAACGGTCCATTTCCTATGGGTCTGTTGTCTTCTCCAGGGACAATAATTCCTGGTTCCAGTATACAACGACCTTCATACGTGGGACACACAAGATAGCGGCAACAATCTTCGTAGCGTTGACACTGACATACAAAATATTCCAGATAAATAAACTGCAGTACAAAAAGATGAACAGAAAAAATATAGATCTATGTCATCATACCACTTTGTTTTACTCCCTTTTAATTTTTGCATTCTTAGATTATTATACCTACAGGTTGAAATATTAATTTTGTTACAAAAAAGTAACTGTAAGGTGAAGTGAGGTAAGTTCGTAAACGGGGCAAGTGCGTATACAGGCTATTTTTATTACAATATGAGCGAAATTTCTCCATTTAGTATGTTTGTTTCCTTGTTTTGTTTCACTATATCGCCTTTTATATTTCAGCTAAGAGTTCTTGTTTGCAGTATAGAGTACTTGCACAATGCAGTAAAAAGCATTTTATAGGAAATTTGTTAATAATTCTGCTCTTGCCCCATTGCACATGAAATAAAGTTTCAAAGTATTTAACTTCAAGTTACGCTCTTACCCCATTTTCTGGGAAAGTGCAGGGTAGTTGACATTTTAAACAATTTCCTATTAAAATCAAAATGTACAAGAAAAATTAAGGTTCTAGTTAATATTAATTAAATAGTAATAATTGTGCAAAGCGTCCGATATCGCCAGCGTTAAGTATTTACATAGCAGATTGGAAATACTTACGTTTAAATACCAACTTTACAAAAACCAGTCTGCTCTTACCCCACTTCACTTTATATGTAAGTACAACTGTAGATACTATTTTTATAAATGAACACAGACCTCATTTGTACAAGTACTAATCGTTCATAAAAATATGCTTAAATCTGTTTAATTATATGAGCCATTTATTTCGAAAGTAGCGCAAGTCCACTTTTGGAAAGAATGTAGATAATGATAACAATAGATAAAACTTGGTAGGATATTTCTATCTGTAAGCCAACTATAGTGAGAATGAATACAATTCCTTAATATTTGAGCGATATTTTTGGTGATTAATGGTATTGGAAGGATGTTTATTTTGAAAGTGATGGAAGTCTACTTTAGGTGGAAATTAATTTTAGTTGAATATATTACAATTTGGCTGCAGTAAATTTTAGTAATATTGCCAACACTGTGCAATGCTTTAAATTTTATTATATTGGCATAACCTCAATATAAGTTAGAATGTGGTGAATTGGTAAGATATCATTACTAATTTTTATTATTAGATTGCAAGTAATTTTCAGTTTCTAATAAATATTTCACAAAGCTGACACGGTTCTCGTTTTAATATTGGTGAACCTTTAAAAATTTCTTTGATATTTGAAAATTGATTACGAATTGTGAATATTTCACTGACGAAATATGGCTGAGGGTGATTTCTACGAAAATTGGAATTACAATGCATTTCAAATATTTAGCGAAGCTGCTAAATCGGATCAACAAAAGAAAAATATTTTTTCGGGTAATAACGTCACTCCAATAAAGTCCTCTTTTTCAAGAAATTTATTAATTTTATTATTTCCATGAAATATCGTTTAATTAATTGTTTTTAATTATTTGGTTAATTAACGATTGTAATAATTGGTTTATTTTTAAAGTAGAGCAATTTGGGTGTAATAAAATCTTTATTTTTTTTAGTTTGCACTCTAAACATACATTATCTGACACCAGAAAATAAAACAAATTTGTCTACTAGTACAAAACAATATTTTTAATTTGTTGAAATGCAAACCTTTAGATATTTCGCAAAAATAAAAACGGACTTTTCTACTTTTTAAATAAACCGCTCATATTTCGATGTCAACCGAGTTGGTTACTAAAATAAGAACTTTTGTACATTCATTATTGTAACATTATGAAATAATGTTTTTCACTTGTTGTAAAAAATGAGATAAAATGCATTTTAACTGAATTCTAAATTTTGTATTTTCTTTATGAAGACGTCACAATCTGTTTTTATTGTTAACATCTTATCGTTAGAATAATAAATAGTATGTACTGTTGTCCACCCACGAGTTGGCGCGTAAAGAAGCTGAACCAGGTGGTTAGAAGAGCTTCAATTGGTCAGAAGAGAAAAATGGACGCCTCAGACGTATTTTCGGCGGTAGTGTTCGCTTCAACATTCGCACACCAATTAGGCAAAAAACAATGACAGACAAACTGTCTCAAGTGAGTAAGATAGTACGAATTGCGTGATACATTTGTTATTATCATTATTCTTATTTGCCGAACTCTAACGCTGGAAATATTCACAGTGAGGACAAACGCAGTTTCTTTTACTTTGAGTTGACCTCACGCGCTAACTCATGGATTGAAATCTGTATTAAATTGTAGTGAAGAACTTACTTTTCCTTTCCAAGAACTGCAAGTTGGCGTCTGCAACAAAGCCGACGACACAACGGCAGAAATTAATGACACAATCAGAAGTAGGGTAAGAACTCTCATTCTTGTGGATTTGCTGTAAATAAACAACGATTTATTAAATAATTATTTAATTGTAAGTACAACTGTCAGGTAATCCGAGAAAAATCATTATTGCAGATAATTAAGTGAATAAAATGAAAGAATAATCATTATCAGTTGTTCTTACGTTTAATTTGTCAATATTTAATATCAGTTACATAGCTCAAAGGTGTAACGGGGAACATATCATGAACATTGTGAAATTCAAACTTTTCTCATATTCTGTGTTGAATTCTGTGTGATTGCATATAGTTCGTAAAAATTCACCATTACATTCGTTTTAACTGTTATACTTGTGCAGCGCAAAATGCGGAGTAAAATTGAAATATTGCTTCTATCACATGTACGCTGTTCAGCAGGTTCTGCTATTGCTCTTAAAAAATTTAATAATTATATTGCGCGGTACAGGGATTCAATAGGTTCAGAACGTATGAAACGATAAAGTAGACATAGCGTACATTTAAAATCCCTTGCTGAATGAAACATTTGTTTAAATCGTTTTCCTTCAACTTGACGTTTCCCGCGGCTTTTTCGCTCAGCCAATAATGGCACATTTTTCAAACAATTTAAGGGTGAATACTTGACATTATTTTCATCGATGAACTAATTCCTTATGGTTTTTATTATTATATTGTAAGTTCTGTGTGTGACGTTAAAAAAGCATATTTCAATTACATTATAATACGAGGAAGTTCTATGAACTTATTTTAATTCCAATGGTAAATTAAACTTTGACAAATGTAATGAGTATGAAATTTTAAGGGAATATCGAAATTTTATGATTATACTTATGCAATCATTTTTTTACATTTTTTTTTTAATTTAAGAATTTATCGTTGTAAATTTGAAGCACTTTGAAAACGTTTGAATTAAATTGTACATTAAACGTTTAACCTCTTCAATTTTCACGATCAATTTTGTTACACATGTTGTTGATGTAAAAATAATTGCTTTCTTTTTTAAATTTTGTTATTTATACTCAATAAATTGTTTTGATTGAGTTTCGTATTAACGTAGTACACCATTTTCTGACACAAAATTCGTTCTACTAGTTTTTAATAATAATTTTATTTCCAGTGTTCATATTTGTCGAAGATGTCGAATTGAAGATAGAAAACTAAGTTTAAACAATTTAAAATTTTACAAGTTAAAAATGTGATATAAGTGAGAAAATTATGACTTTTAATTCAAAGTGTATTGAATAGATAAATAATTGGTTAAATTATTCATTAAACTTTAAAAGTATTTTCTATTTAGTTTTTCCGTATATAGTATTGACAATTTGGCAATAAATTAATATGGTTCTTTATTATTATCTATCAATCTAACACAATAAGTAATTTTGGATAATTAATGTTAATGAAATCTCAAAATTTAAGATATGTTACTTAACAGTTAATACGTTAAAAAATAAATAGTTGTATATTCGGAAATAATTTCTTGTAAATATTACGATTACTTCAATTGTATTCAGAATAGTTTATTAATATATTTTAAAACAGTTACTAGTTAACAATTATTAATTATATTAAGAGTTACAAAATATAATTCAAGAATAGCTTCGTAATACATTTAGTGTTTCGTACAAATATAAATATAAATATAAATATAAATACAAACATAAATAATGCATATAATAAATATATATTCATTACATTTTGTAAAATAGACTTTTAGATAGCATTCTGGATCAAAGTATGAAATTTTGTGTGTCGGTACAATGTCTACTAATAATGATTAAATTAATGATATTCCAAAAAAAAAATAATAAAATATCAAAGTAATTCCAAAATACAGAATGAAAATATCAAAATTCAAATAAAAAGTACAAACGTTTGGTTGCAGGAGTTTGAACAGTTAATATACTTTGAAGACTGTGTTCTATAAATTACTTTCATGGTTTATATACGCATGTTATCGTAAAATATCATTGTCTTATTGACACGCAGAATGCAATAACTTCTCAATATGTGGACTTAAATAGATATCGCTTCATGTTCTTCGTTTTTAAAAACGAAAATAAGAAAGTGAAACTTTGCAGATAAAAAATATCTAGACTATAACATAATGTGAAAAGAAGTACAATTGTTTTTAATTGAATTATCAACTCAAATTCTCTGTTATTATTGAATTATTTAAATATATTCAAATATTTATATTTCGGATAATATTTAAATTTTCGGATAATTTTGAACTATTTACAAATAGTCAAGTATTTACATCTTCAAATTTTTTAGTTGACGACTTCGTAAATTTACTGATTTTCAAATTTTATAGTTGACGAATTCGTAAACTAATTTTCAAATTTAAAAATTTATTTGCATTAAAATTTTCAAATTTCGAAATTAGTCTTTTCAAATTTACGAAATTACAAATTTTGCATTCGAATTTCTTCCTTATTTCGAAGAGTTGTATGCCATAATTGTACAACATTATTTAATTGTACAATTTATTAACAATTTATTTATACAATTTCATTATCAAACAATCTAATTTTTAATCCTTTGCTTATAACATTTTGTATAATATACAGCAGTCTTTATCAAAACTCTTACTTATTGTTAGTGTAATTAATTTTGAAGCGATTACTATACTGTTTCTGTTATGAGTAATTCTGACACATATTTCTCAGCAGATTATTCCAAAAATTCATTAACTTGTTCACAAACAGTAATTATGTTTTTTCCTGATAATTGTAATGATACAAAATAAAAAATAACAGTGAATGGCAATTTTCTTGGAATGTCGTTTTTGATTATTACATATCATTAAATTACTGAATGAGTATATAAAGAAGAACAAAATACTTCTTGGAAATCGGTTTGAAATATTTTGTAGCAGAACCATTTCGTCCCGAAAAAATATCTTCTTTTATAATTTTACTAGCCCCTAATAGTTTCAAGAATCTGTAATAAAATATCCTTCATGTGAATTTTTTATTACTAAATAAAGTTGCAAATATTTTGTTTTGAATTGCAACATTGTTCTACATTAAATAATGTAATTTGAAACGATATCTGTCCATGCGACAGAAATAACTCGATCGAATCATAACAATTCGATAGCGAAACGATAAGAGGAATGATAAAGGGAGAAAAATAAGAAATAATAATGCAAAGTAAATTTTTATATAATTTACGTATTTAATGTACAGCGCTGAGTTAAGGAATAATAGTACTTAACATTCAATTTCAAAATTCTAATGGAGTAATGTATGCAATTTAATTGGTAGGCCTACGAATTGACATCCATATTTGTGAGTCCATCGTTCATTGTTGTTTATTATTGGTTGGAGATTGTGAATCGTCAGGTTGATTTGGACCCATTTTCTTGGTGCATCGACCAGCCCATGGATTACATATTAATGGTCCACAACAGTCTGCATCTGACGAACACTGAGAACATAGTACGTACAATAAATAAATATTCATGTTCAAATAATATAATTAACTAGCAGATGCTAATGGTAATGATGACTAATCGAATTGTTAATTTGATAATCTCAATTTTTTATATTTTGAAATTTGTCGATTTTTCATTTTTTAATTATTAAGTTTTAGAACTTATAAATTTTCAAGTTATCGAATTAGTGAATTAGTGAATCACTAAACTATCAAGATATCAAGGTATCAAAATATCAAAATATCAAATTATTAAATTATCAAATTACCGAATTACCAAATTACCGAATTACCAAATTACCAAATTACCAAATTACCAAACTACCAAATCACCAAATTACCAAACTATCAAGTCACCAAATCACCAATTTATCAAATTCTCTAAATTCCTAAATTCTCTAAATTTCTAAATTCCTAAATTCCTAAATTCCTAAATTCCTAAATTCCCAAATTCCCAAATTACTAAATAACTGAATTTGTGAATTTCTGAATTCCTAAATTTCCACATTACAACATTTAAAAACTTCTAAATTTCTAAATTTTGACATTTACACTATGAAATGTCTGAAATACATCTTTGGATGTATATGTATACTTATTTATGTACTTATACCTTCTTGTAAGGGCAACACTTACGTAAGATGTATATATTTACATGATAGGTATAGATAAACGTAAATTACCACATAATCTAAATAGCAACTTTTTGTGAAGGTATAGATAAACATAAATTACCATATAATCTAAATAGCAACTTCTTGCAAATGTAAAAAATGAAAGATTTTTTACTTTTAGATTTCCAATAAAAAAGTATGCTTACCGGTAAACCCGGTGGCTTGCAACCCATTACGCCGGAAATGGCCAGAAGGACGATGCAGAAGATTACAAAAATGCCTCTCATTTTGATTATTATTTAATTAATACAGAGACTGCAAAGTAATATTCGTTATTACCTGATATCAATAATTATCAAGTTTATAATTAAATTCAGAGCTTACTCACTTTTGTGTCACCTGGATAGATTCGTGATGTTCTGATTCTTCTTGCAAAGACTTCGGTATATATAGGGTGAACGAACACAGAAGAATGATAATAATTTTTTTATTATGAAGGTCTGTCATATACCTTGACGTTTCTTAAGGCTATAACATTATTTGTGATCGATATTACACAGATATTATTGCAGTTTATCTGAGTTTGCCGACCAGGTAAACACCGCAGGGAACGTCGGGATAAACAAATTACATAAACTGACGTGTTTTGCAGAAATTCAGAGAAAAGATCAAACCCCCCATCGTACTTTATCTTGATAGTGGAATTCCTAAGAATTATGTTTAGAAAAATTTGATTCTAGACGTTGTTTTCAGTGATTTGTGTTTTGTGCATTTATTGTTTCAAGTGTTTTCGCGTTCTGTACTAAAAAGGTACATTCGTCAGACAATTTGATAAGGTTGGTTTGTTCGAAACTTTCGTATGTTTCTTTTTTATCGGATTATTTGTTAAAATTTTTATTTGTGTACTTCTATGAACTATTTTTAATTTTAGCAATTATTTAACATTTTTAAATAAATGTTTACTGTTTTATTTAGTATTTTGTATGCATGTGGTACTATTTGTTTTAGTGTAAAAAAGTTAAATGAACTTTTCTTTAATTTAAAGTAGCAGAATAGGTTGGATGCACAACTACCACCCATAAGTATCCGGACACACGGTTTCGTTACATAAAACATAGTTGAACTTTGTACGAAAGGTATTTAGGGTTATCATATCATTTGTAATAATTATTATTATCTTTTTTGAGATGTCATAACGTAATAGAATTAATTTTTAAGTACAAATTATACAATGAAAGTATGAAAGTAAAATTCATGTTCAGAAGTACAAAGTCTAAATTTATGAATCTAATGAAACGTTTTCGATTCTAAAAAAAATTTTAATTTCTACTGTGTTTCATTTCGAAGGCGCAGAACGTATTCAGAGAGTTTTTCGATATGTTTCAAGTGTTTGTAAACTGTTGGTAGATGTTTAGGTTCCCTCAATGGAGATAAGAGTGGAGGTAACGCTACGCACTCGGCAGTTTCGGTTTAGTTCGTCTGTAGCTTCTTTTCCATCGAGATATGAGTTCCAAACGAGAATTATCAATCGAAAAACGTTCCAGTATTCTGACCTTCGCAGAAAAAAAAATCGATTTTAGTTACTGTTGCAGATACTTGAATAACTTTCATGCAACGCGAATGCATATTTCGCTTGTGTCCGGATACTTATGGAGTGTATGTTCTATTACCCGTATTTATTGTTGCGCTACTCTTTACTAAATTTTAGTACAATTTGTTAGTAAATTTTCAAATTTTCCTTTAAGTGAATATTTTAAATAAGAAATATTCATTCTTACCTTTTTCTGCATAATAATGCAGTACCACTCGTCAAAGGTTACAGACACAATTTTCAACAAACAATTAAAGAATTTTCTAAAATTGAAAGACCCTTATAAAATAATTTAATCACGCAGTTAATGGCATTATAAAATCTGATTACCGAGATTTATAATTTTTCTAAGCACACCTGGCAAAAATATTCAATTGGTTGCAACGTAACGCATGGGAATTATAAAACGATCTCCATAGTATGTATTTTCCGACAATATCGGTATTTGACGTTAACAGTAATCATCCATTACATTTTTTCAACAGTATATTGACAATAATTGACGTAACACCGGTGTAATATTTCAAAACACGAGCCGTGTAATGCGTTCGCATGTCGTTCGACCTATCAAAACCGCCCTCTAAATTGATTCAATTGTCGTTTCCCGAGGGAAAGCGATCTCTTCGTCCAGATATTTTTGGGAATCCAGTGAAACCGTCGACCACGATTGCTATTACCTTTTTTTGTTTTCAATCCATCCGCTAAACTTTCCTCGAAGCTGAAAATTATTGTCGTACAGGCATGATTGAACAGCTCATTCGGTAAGCAGATGAGCAAAAAATGTACCCACATGTGTTTTTTCTTGCTTTAAATTGCTTTCCATCGATATCAGCAATTTTTATAAACTTCTCAATAGAATTCTCAATAATTAATTTTTTAATAAGCATTAGCAATATTGTAATTTATTATACTTATTTTTATTTATTTATATTTATTTTTGAAAATAGATTTATATACTATTTACATTAGCTTATGTAGTTTAGGTATATAAAGGTATATAATTAATAATTGATATGAACGAATGTAACAGTCCATTTAGTTAAGTAAGAACTGAATTATTTTATACATAATCATTTTCTAATAAAGCATTATACACTGAAAAATTACTATGAACCATTCAAGACAATTAAAACATCAAGTTTTTTAATATTGTGGATAAGATGAATAAAAACGAAAAAAGTATAATGAACGCGTGATTACAAATATGGCAGACTAATATATGTTAAAGAACGCCATGGACAGTATTAATAATATTAATTGATACTAACAATTGCTAAAAACTTGCAGTACAAAATGAATATTTTGTGTCAATATAAAAAAAAAAAAAAGAAATTGAAACAATTCCAATTACTTTGAACAGTGTTAGGTAATCTGCAAGAAAAATGAGTCACAATAGTAACAGGCGAAGTAGTAATCGTAAAATATTTTAAACACGTTTTCAAAAACATCATTCAGGTAATTAAAGACCGTGTCAATAAAATGATTCCTTAATGAATCATTGCGTGTGATTTAAAAGTTAAATTATTATTACGTGTTATACATAACCTATAAATCGGGTAGGTGAATCACACTCGAAACGATAACGACGTATGATCGTTGGAAAAGTGAAAAGCTCACGGTTAAATTTTGTACGTGTGTATGGAAAGTGGAGAACGGTTCGATCACGTGTTTAACGTAAACACGATGTTATTATAAAATGTATGCAACCGGGTCTCCGTTAACCGCGAATAATATTTCTCTCTGACTGATGAACACGCTCGATCAAGTGCATCATTGCTTGCAATTTAATACAATGAAGACAATTAAAACATTTATCGAGCGCGGTTTTGATAATCGGCAAACAACCGAGCGACCAATCATTTCATCAGGGCGATAATTAAATACTCGTTTCCGATTAATTCGTTGCATTCGGAAGAAGATCAAGCCCTCCTGTTGCTTCGAACATTTGTTCGATGATTACAACCCGTTCTCGATGACTTCTTTTCGCGGGTTAATCATGTTAAAGATAATGATCAAGATAAATTTTGAATAGAGCCGGAGTGTTTTGTGTACGTTGAATCTACAAGAATCTGACCTATGTTATTCGTAGATCGAGGTGACAGCTATCAATCCAGGGTCAATTTCGAAGAAGCGATAAAGTGAGATATCTTTTCTAAGAACGGTACTGCGCTCTCAGAATTGAGAAATTATTGAACACTAGACAGAAATTGTTATAGAAATTATTTAGATATCGAGTGGTTTTCAAGATTATTTCTGCATTTTTAGCAATTTTTCATCTGAACAATAGTAAGTTTTTTTATATTTTTATTTTTACATAAACTGTAACTAGAGATTTATACCTTCTAAAAGAGCAAATTGAAAATGCGGAACTTATGATTTCGTTTTTTGAAAAATTGCATTTAAAAATTTGTGACGTGAATAATATTTCTAGCAATTTTTACCCTAATTTGACTATCGGAGCATGTATTGATTTTATTGATATATACTTTGATTACATGATAGATTTAGAAATATAATAAGTATATGTGTTATAATATTATGAAGAAACTAACGATACAAATTATTGATATTAATGAACATTTATTGATTTATATAATCCGATCATTGTTGAATTAATGAAAGAATTTTAATTCGACAATTTTAGGTCAAAATTGAGTGTAGATAGAAAATATAACATTTCATACATTTTTGTATAAATGTACAAAATGTACAAAATGTTCGAAAATGTATTTTGTACAAATGTATTTACATTTCGAACAAATATCTAATAAAAAAAGACTTTAAAAATGTTTGTTAAGAATTGCACCCATAATCTACAAAATGTGATCACTTCATTTACAACTTGCTAATTCAGATTAAATAATAAAAAAATATTAAATCGAATATATTTTTAAGTAATTGTGTCAATATATGTATTTTGAGTCTTAATATTTTTCAATATCGTAAAAGATCTACTCGTATATAATTTTAATTAAACTGATTCACACAATGAGCTTTAACATGGAAATATGTTTTATTGTAGCAAGTTTCATCGATTAATTTAGCTTGAAATTTATTTCCATAGAAATATTGTTGCTTTTAATAGAAAGCGTTATTACAGAGCTTATATCTTGTAAATACTAAAGTTACGTGTTTACATATAGAATTAAATATTGTTATAAATAATATTTAACATTGAATAAAATATAATTGAACATTTTGTAATAATCTCATTACAGATTCATTTGCTGGATTAATTTAACAGCTTTCATGAATTATGCAGAGAAACATCGAACACTGCATGCGTAAGGAAAATGTAATTTTAAATTATAACATGAAATCACATAAACGATTACTTTATTAAATATTTAAATTGAATAAAGTATATTCCGCCAAACGATACATGAGTACAAATGAATGAAGTGCGGAATTTACGGCTGTGGCGATTATTGATAATTTGTTCAAATAATTAGCAAATGAAAATGGATGAAAAATTCAAAACATTTGTATATAATATATTCAAATAATTACAAGGATCATCATTGACAATTATCTCTAATTATTATCTATTAAACAATTAATATTTGAAAGTTTATAGTACTTAATAAAATATATTATCTCATCAAACAATTATTTCTGAATGATCAGATAATGCGATTGTTTACCACATGTTTACTCAATCGTAGCACTATTTTATTCCAATTATTCGTGCACTACTTGATCAAGATACTTGTTGCTGGCGATAACAATGTTGCGTGTGTCGTAACTGAATTAACTTCGCCTCTAAGACGATGTCTGCATTAGAATCGCGTGACAGAGGGCTGTGTATACAGCTTTTGCACGCACATCCGATTTGCATTTCCGAGCTAACGAGAATTTTCCGGTACACGCGTCGCCTTAACCTCGAGCAAGCATTGAAGCAGGTGGTAAGGAAATTAGTATGGTCGTTCTTAGCACGAATAAGAATTACACGCTTGTCAAGCGATAAAAATCGGTTCATTTAATCGCCCATAAACTGACTACTGCAGATTTTCGCAATATCGGATGTGTCGTTTATAATTTTTACAAGTTTCTTGGAACATAAACAATTATCCGCTCATCGCTTTAGGGTTATGTTACCACATTACTTTTGTTACTTCGATTTTCACATTAGTGTCAATTAATGGGACTAGATAAGAAACGTTTATGTCGCTCAGAAATTATGGTTTACAGTTATATTTTTTATTGCATTTATACGGTTGTAAATAAAGAATGAAATGATGATAACTAATAAGAGTATGTTTTTGAAATAGTAATACGACACAAAGACATAGAGGTAATAGGAAACCCAAGAAATAAAGAGACGAAAGAAACGTGCGATTATGATTTATTTAATATAACAGAAATGGGTTTCATAACTACGTAAATGTAGTTCAGTCGTGAACTATTTTACCTTCCTACATTTCATTCGTCAGCGAAAAGTATTTTAACTTCCTACATTTAATTCATCAGCATAAAGTATTTTAACTTCCTACATTTAATTCATTAGCATAAGATATTTTAACTTCCTACATTTCATTCGTCAGCATAAA